TTTTTCGGTTTCCTAATGTTCTTCTCATGCATTTTACATAGATATAGAACAATTGCTTTTTTAAAGCAAAATTGAAATTCGTGATTTTTTCAAATTTGAGTTTTGTTTTACCATAATTGTGTCTTTTTGATCTTGGTGTATGTATATCTTATGACCTATTTTATGGAGAACCTTGATATTTGAAATACAACTAGACACTTTGAATATGAATTCACCTGTGGCAAAAAAATTGAGGTGGGCGTGGCACATCCGGGTTGAATTACTAATTGTTTACATTTTGGGGCTGGGGCATAACTCGCATAGGATACGTTTGTTAAAAAAGGGACTTTGCACACAATTACCTCATCCTTTTGGCTAGTTTGTGATAACAGCTCAGTTGTTTCAGCTTTATAGTTCCAAAAAAGGAACGGGTTTTAACATTTGGATATTTTCATTTTTCGATTTTGACCTTTGTTGACATTTGTTGACCTATATCTTTTGATTTGAATAATGTAGAAGCTTGAAATTTGAAACACAATATAACATTTGGAATATCAATTACCCTATTCAAAAAAATTAAGGTGGGCGTGGCACATCCGGGTAATATTACTCATTATTGATATTTTTGGCCAGGAGCATAACTCGCAAAGTATACGTTTGTTCAAAATGGGACTTTGCATACAATTATCTCATGAATTGAGCCACTTTGTCTTAGAAGTTCGGTTGTTTCCGCTTCTCAGTTCAAAAAAAGGAACAGGTTTTGGAAATTCAAAATTTTCAATTTTTTACCGTGACCTTTGATGACCTTGACCTTTATTGGGTCAAAGGTCATTGGCGTTGTCTATTAGTTTATGCTCTCATATTTGACCACTGACGTCTAATTTCGCTTTTATAGCTGTCCAAAAACATCCAAATTCGCAACTTTGGACTGCTCTAGCACGTGACCTAATTAACCTAGAGAGTAAATTTTTTCGGTTTCCTAATGTGCTTCTCGTGTACTTTACATAGATATATAACAATCGTTTTTTTAAAGCAAAATTGAAATTCGTGATTTTTTCAAATTTGAGTTTTTTTTTTACAATATTTGCGACTTTTTGAGCTTAGTGTATGTATATATTATGATCTATTTGATGTAGAACCTTGATATTTGGAATATAACTAGACACTTTGAATATGAATTCACCTATGACAAAAAAACTTATGTGGGCGTGGCACATCCGGATTGAATTACTAATTGTTTACATTTTGGGGCTGGGGCATAACTCGCATAGGATGCGTTTGTTCAAAAAGAGACTTTACACACAATTACCTGATCCTTTTGGCCAGTATGTATTAACAGCTCATTTGTTTCAGCTTTATAATTTCAAAAAAGGAACAGGTTTTAACATTGGATATTTTCATTTTTCGATTTTGACCTTTGTTGACTTTTGTTGACCTATATCTTTTGACCTCTATTATGTAGGAACTTGGCATTTGAAACATAACGTAACATTTTGAATATTGATTAACTTATTAAAAAAAAATTGAGTTGGGCGTTGCACGTCCGGGTTTAATTACTCATTATTGACATTTATGGCCAGGGGCATAACTCGCAAAGTATACATTTGTTCAAAATGGAACTTTGCATACAATTACCTCATATTGTGAGCCACTTTGTCTTAGAATTTCGGTTGTTTCCGCTTCTTAGTTCAAAAAAAGGAACAGGTTTTGGAAATTGAAAATTTTCAATTTTTGATCTTGACCTTTGTTGACCTTGACCTTTGTAGGATCAAACGTCATTGGCATTGGCTATCTATTTGTACTTTCATATTTGCTGTCCTATGTCAACTTCCGGTTTTATAGTCGTGTGCAATTAGAAATTTTGATGACGTATATCTCTTGATCTTGACCTTTTTAGACTTTCTCTTTTACAAGATCAAAGGTCATTGAACTTGGCTATCTGCTGATACTTTCATTTGTGAGGTCTGACGTCTACTTCCGGTATTAGAATCTTCTAAAAAATGAAAACTTTAGACTGTTCTTGCGCTTGATCTAATTATCGTGGAAGGATGATTTTTTCGGGGTCTTTTGCAATTTGCTACATTTGCAAAGTCCCACTCTGTGCCACGAGTGGCTCTAGTTTTCTTCTTTTTTTTAAAATAATAATACATTTTATTACATATAGATTATATCACAGGATACATAAGATAAATATGCAATAAGGAAAAAATATGCAATATTTAACAAAACAGAAAAAAAAAATGAAATTGACATAAATAGACTTATTATACAATATTACATTGGTGAATTGAATTATAAATTTAAAAAAAAAAAAAAAAAAAAAAAAAAAAATAAACAAAAAGAAATACCAATAATTTCCCCTTTATGAGGGATCTCTGCGAAAGAGAAGTCTTAAGGCTGTTTTTTTTTTTGTTTTTTTTTTGTTTCAGAGTTTCAATACTTGAATTACAGGTAGTACATAAACCGGATTCTTTAATTTTCATCTTACAAAGTTGCTTATTAGTCGCTATAATCCTATGTAGTAGTTTAAATTGAAAGTTTTGAAGTTTGATGTTAGGGCATATTTTGTATGGTAATAAAAATATTTTTGATATTTCTTCTTCGTTTAATCGATAATTTAAATCTTCTTCCCATTTTCTTATGGCTTTAGGTTCAGTATATTGTTCAGATTTAAGTTGATTGTATATATCCTTACATTTTATATCAGTTAGTGTTTTCTTATAAAATAATTCAAGATTTCTATTTATATTTGTAATTGGTTCAGTGTCGTTTATGGTAATATCTGTGTCTTGTTCACTTACACTCTGTATATGTTGAATTCCATTAACTAATAAAAGATTTTCTAAATTTTTATTTTTATATATATTTTGATTAATTTTTATGTGTTTATTCCACAGAATTTGATTCCCAATAGTTATTTGCTTTTCTAGTTTATTTGTATATACTATATGCCAATCATTGAAAAGTTTTTTTTATAAAATTTTGATAACATTAATTCTTTGTAATTATAGTTACAGGCTGGTAGTAATGTTCCGTTTAGATCATTTAGTATGTAGTTGTAGCATATTTTCCATGGATGATCAGTTTTTGTGTACAGTTTTTTTTAAACCCAAAAGGCACTCCTGCTTGTTAAAAATGTTTTTATATCTATCATATTAAGTCCGCCCTTTTCGATATCTTGGGTTACAACTTCTCTTTTGATTTTGTCAGTGCCTAAACCCCATAGAAAAGTGTAAAAAAAGTTTATTAATTTCATTTATAGTTTCTTCCGGTATAGTGATTACTGATGCGGGGTATATCAGTTGTGAACGTTTTAATTATTTGAATTTTCCCTATAAGGCTTAAGTTCCTTCGCTTCCATGTGTTTAACTGATTTCGTATCTTTGTAAGTATTGTTTCATAGTTCCTCATTTGAGTTAGTTTAAAATCTAGATTGAAATTTAATTTATGAAAAACGCGTCAAAATCTGTTTGTGAACACAATAGAGAGTACAGTTTTTATCCGATTTAAATGAAATTTGGAATGATCATTTATAATGATGAAATCTTAGTCAAGATTGAATTTGACAATTTTTCGTTCAACGGAATTTGAGTTATTCCCCTTGACTTAGTAAAAACGCATCAAAATTTGTTGGCGATAGAGGTAACAGTTTATGTCAGAATGTTATTAAATAATGTATGTTTGTTTAAATCAACAATATCTTGCACAAATTATATTTTTGGTATGATTTGACACAGATAGGTGACTGCCCTTTATATATTGAAAATGTATCAGGAATGATGGCGTATCTTGCTAGGGTTCATCCTTAGGTGATTACAAACATTGACACCAAATTTTATCAAAATCCATCAAGAAACCAGCTCTCTATGATTATTATTGTCAAATTTTATGTTACGGTTCCCATGCGCATTAGCTTAACGCATAATATTGGCTAGTAAATTGGAACTATTTCGACACATCAATACCGAATAGGGACTAGGTTAGCTGGGCACTAGGTCAGTCGGTTAAAGATTATTACGCATTTTCGTACATAAATTTTAAATATAGATTAAATGATTTTATTAT